AATGTGTACACACACATTCAAAACAGACTAACAAAACCAGTACAGTCTCCTTTTTTGACAGCAAAATGACAAAATGTGCTTATTTAAATATAGTTCCTGGTGATATTTCTCTCCCACCCTTAATCTCTGGTATTTTGTAGCCACCCCCCAACTATAAATACACCATCTCCTGTTGCTCCCACATATACACATTCAGCTTCTGGCTTTTACTGTCCAATTGCCACCATCAAAGGTAAATGCATCACAACATTATTTGGAGTAGAAGTAATAGCTTGAAAACAAATCCGAATCGACAAAAGGTCCGAGTGAACAGGATGGATTTACAATGGGTGTGGACAAGTAGAGAAATCTGTGTTCTTTAAAATGTGCTGTGTAATGCAACACAACTATAGCATATCTTGTGTTAAAATCGGGGCGAAGTAGAAAATAATCTGCATGCATTCACATCGGTAAGGCTACAAAACTGAATATTAGTCTGCTTTTCCCATGTCCGAATCATATTTCCTGTAGAATGGACTTAGTTATTAAACCTACAATAGACAGAGACTGATCATTTCCATGTGTACCTAATGTTTCCTGATATCACAGGCATCACTTTTTAGGAAGCAACAGGTTAACGCCGACTGCACCTTAGAAATCATGCAGAACAGCTACTTGATATTCACATGCATGCACGAGTGGATGCATGTAAGTTGACATCTCACAAGGACACAGACATGCATCATTTGTCATATCACCTGTATTTGTTCTGACTTTAAGTGACTTGGCAGGCATTTTTTTTCTTTGAAGTAGTGGATATGCAGACTGTATTTTCACATGTGCTGATGCATATGATTGTGTAGGAGAGCCTGCTGGATGCTGACCATCACGTTGCCGTAGCACTCGGACCAGCGGACAAACAAGGCTCTGCAGTAAGGGCACAACATCTGCTGTATACTGTATGTTCAACATCTGACAGTTGCTCTTATTCAGAACGATTTGCATCTGTTCTCAAGATTCGTGATTGATAAGAAACATGAGTTTGTTAAATTGTCTTAGTCTCTAGGAGCATCCAGTGGGTACTTGTCCATTTTCAGTCATTTTACAAGCTAAACACTGACTTAATAATAAAACAAATGATTAATTGCAGTAGTATTAGACGCTACACTAGTTGTTTAAAAACTTTATTCCTCTCTCTCCCTCTCAGTCTCTTCCTTCATCTCGTCCTCCTCCCACTACATTTACGCTACTGTCATTCAGTGACCTCATCGCCTCAGCTTGCCCTCTGACAGAGGAAGACCCCGCCGACTGGGAGAACTTCAAGATGAAGGCTGAAGCTCCACAGAGACAAAGAGAAAGACACACATCGACATGACTGCCTGTCTCACACCGTCAACGACTTGCCGTAGCTTTCAGAAGTTCTAGAAAAGGAACAGGAAAACTGGCACTGAAGTTGCTTTCTCATTCAGCACATTATTAATGTCAAGGGCATTTTGGTTGACCATTGCATGTTCCAGCTTACCTTCTCATCCCTGAGGTAAACAGATATGCAAACACAAGAAGTGAAACCGAGATTAGTGTTTTATGTCATTACCAAAACTAATTTGAACATGTGACTATATCTGAATTAAAATCAGTCAGTACTAATCCAGAACAGATGGAATCTTTGACCTTGACAATAGAAAAAGGATATCATTAGTTATCATATTTGTATAAACGTACAATTGTCTGAATTGCTGTGAACACAGCCCTGACTCTTGATAGCGTGTGATTTGTGCAATACACACAGAGACTCAAACACAGGGGCTAGGCTCTGGCCTTATTTTCTCACACCACTGACTGTGTTTTTCTAAACTTAGCCTTTTGGGACAATAAAAGGGAATTATGGTTATTGATGAAATGGAAACATGCTTTCCAGTTGGCTTTCATCCAAGCATATAGGGTACGTCAGAGAGAGTTCAGTCAGGTAAGTGTGTAGGTAAGCATGTGCATGAACCTGTGTTGTGAGTGAAATCAAAACAGCTCAGAAAGACACATACGTAGTCATTGCCTTCAGATGGAGTGAATTTGTTTGCCTCTGCACTCGCAGAAGCATACTTTCATTTTTAGATAGAAATGAATATAATTAGTTAGGGTTTTATTATATAGCATACATAAGTTTATACATTTTAATCTCACAGTTGTGTTTATGTTATGTAGTTACATATCACCCTATGTGTGCACTGAATCACTGGTTAGTATTTACTGTCTAAGCAAACTGGAGCACTGTTTAACATCAAAGGGACTGGTTCACCAAAACACTGACTCTCATCAGATTTACAGCTTTAGCAAAGAGGGTCCACAGTTAATTTATTATCACCACCTGGCTGAAGAGGCCAGGGAATTTGGGGTGACTGGGATACCAAGGGTAATAAACAAGAGACTAGATCTAAAAGTCAGGAAGAAGACGACAACTTCAAAGGCACTCCCTTTTTAGGGTGTTATCTACAACCATTTGATCAGAGAGGATGACTGGAGGATGGACGGACTGAAGGACCAATCTTGGGAGAATTAAGTTTAAACCACAATTCCTCCCCAACAGTTTTTGGACCAATCAGAGAGTAACATTTTTTCATATAAATGTTGTGTACCGCTAAGTTGGAGTTAGTCTTTTCTGTTTATCCTAAACAGAAGGGATCCATGTGCACATGCTTATTTTGATACGTTAATGCATAATAAATTTCATATAGAGAAATATATCTTTTTATTAGTCTTCTCTTTTCAAAATAAATTGACTTTTCCTCACAAATTCATCTCATCTGCTCTCAAGCAGTGAAGCAGTGGGGTCAGACTGGAGTTGCACAGGCTTTCCTCAGAGAGAGACCATTTTCAGTGACCTCAGGTTTATCACCCTTTCAAAGAAATAGATTTCTTTTTGTTTTCAAATGTGGGATAGAGATAAGTACTTTGGGCATCAGACTATAAATTTAGACTGAGGTGAGAGATGAGATTTGGCTCCACACACTGTTGAGAATAAGTTTATTTCACTGGATGAGAAGGAGAATACTTTGTGCTACATTCAGACTTTTACTAGCACATAAACTAGATTCCATTTAAGGTTGCATAAATGTTTTAAGCTCTCTGTTGGATGCACCATGCCAGTTAAGTTAAAAAAAGTTTGAGTTGGTCTATTTTTACATTTTAAACATTCATAATGTTAATTAAACAAAGAAACTAGGTTTGAAGGGCATCTAAAGTGAAAAAACCTTATTGTCTGAGCAGGTACAGTTCCATATAGCTTTTGAGTTTTGCTAGCATCGTGGCCCCAGATGTTTGTCCATAGTCTCCTCAGGATGAATCACGGTAATTTTGGTGATTTTGACATTTCATCTAGCTCCATCATCATCAACCAATACTTTGCGAAACTAATGATATTCCAGTAAGCCTCAGCTACTTTGTGTTGGTGCCGATAGCAGTTTTCATGTTAGCCCACTGCACAGAGAACATGGTAAGCATTAGGTGTAAACATTTCACAAGCCACGTGGCAAGTATAGAAAATTTGGGTGAAATATTTTTAAAAAATAGTTTTGGGATTTTTCAAGTTGGTGTTAAAACAATATTGACGTTTCCCTATGTAGGTGAGAATAGGTCTTGGTCTTTGTTACTTCTCTACACTGACCCTGAATGTTTCCACCTCCAACACTTCTACACTGCAAAAAATGGGACAAACAACGCAACCCCTGTTTTGTAAAAACATAACTGAGCATGTTAGCATCCTGATGTTAGTATTTTGCTCTATGTGTGAGTCACTGTCACTGCACCAAATAAATAGTTTGTTTCTAATGCAAGACTGAGTTGAGGTGGATGAGCAGGATACATTTTAGAAGGGTCACAGATGTTTATCTTCCAAAAACATTTTGAGGCTGTGTAATAAAGAGTTGTACTTGTGAAAACGTTTTTGGATGCGTGAATAAAATCTGTTACCACAATGTTGTATAATAATTAAGTGTATTTGTAATCAGGTGTAGACAGAAAGCAGCAAATTTCAAGTTAATAGTACGAATCAAATAGTATGGATGTTTTTACTCTTAATCTGATTGGATAATGACGCTGTCAAACTGTCCAATCAGAGAGCAGTTGGAGCTCACATGGTTTGTCTCCACTGAATCTCAATATGGAGGACGGCGAGGGCTTTTCTGTTACACAGGTGGGAACACTGAAATTTGTATAAAATCACAGAAAAAAAATGTTATGTGTACGTTTTGTATGATATGTATGTACCTCGTAGGTGCTTCACTGTTACTCCGAGGTAACGCAGTTGTCCAAATGTATATTTTCTGGTTTAGGTGGATTACTTTGTGTTAGCTAGAATTGAATGTTAATGTAGCACGTTAGCAAGTCTCTGCTAGCAAGAAACTTTCAAGGGTAAGTTAGCCGTCAAGTACACTTTTGCCTTGCTTGAGCGTTTTCATTATAAGACTAATCGTTACACCTGTTTAATCTTGGAAAAATCGCTATGATTTGAAAGTTGTCCCTTCTTGAATCTACATTGTTGTAGATTAAATAGCTTCTCCCGCTAGTTACTTTGCCAAAGTAGCTAAGTCAGTGGTTAAGGTAATTTTAAATGGCTTTTGCATTTAATATATCTAGCAAAATACTTGATTGAATTTGATTTTTTAAAAATTTTAAAAAGTCAGGTGGGTTGAGTTTTGGCTGTTTTGTTAGTGACTATCATGACAGAGGGGATACTGATTACTTGCAAAAGGTAGTAGACATTTGTTTGACAATCTTGGTAGAACAGCATCAGTGGCTGGACAGCTGAGTGGACCTGGCTCTCAGACCTGAATGCTGCTACAAGCCAGTGGGGCCAGCCACTCTATAACCCAAGCAAATACAATGCAAATGCTGTGTGTAAAGCCACCTATCTGCGCTTTGCTTGGATAATGATAAGATTCAGGGATGCTCTGTGTTAAGGAGTAGGTTAGGTCTGGAAAATGGTGCTGCTTATTGTGGAGCTCTGAAGATTTATGACGTCATGGTGCGACACCCACCTCTTTGGGGTCAAATCGTGGGTAAACATCGGTTAACTCATATACTGGGATTCCATATGAATGTTTTCCCATTCTTTGGCACATTTAATTGTGTATTATTGACTGATGTGATTCCTTGGGGTTTTACTGGTGTAGGTTTCTGTTGATTGACAGTCTTGTTAGAAGTGTGATGTGGGCTGGGTCACTGAGTGGGCCTGGCACTCAGATGTGATTGACTGTGAAGTCAGTTGGGCCATCCACTGTATAACCTGAGCAAATACAGAGCAGATATTATATCTGCTCTCTGCTTGGGTGAGGATAGGATTCAGCAGTGCTTTTATATTAAGTTCAGATTGGAAGGACTTTCTTTTAATGTGCATGGTATATGTGCAAGGTTGATAATAAGTGATCAAAGTAAACACTGGAACATGCTGCTGTTGAAAGAAGCATTTGCCATTGGCAGATTAAAAACCTTCTTTGAGCAGTGCTTTGAAATCCTCCAAGGAATTGAAGCTGTTTGTATAATTTTTTTGGATGGGTCTGTGAGTTTGTGCTGTCATTGCCTCTCACATGCTGTGTATACCTGTGACATCACCAGCTTAATTGACATACCCCAGCAGTTAGCTGGCACACTTGGTATTTATTAGCTGCTGTTGCTTTGGCATTCTTGCCTGCTCCTGAAGATGGTTTTAAAGTAAAAACGAAAACTTGAGAAAATTGCCACCATGCCTCTGTCCTTTTTTGGAGTAACTTTATGTGATCTCACATTAGTTACAGCAATGTAGCATGTTCCACAGGATGGTTTATGCAAATGGTCCTGACGATTAGATTTGTTGTCTGTCTGAATTAAATAAGAAATACTGCTTCAGAAGTGTCTTAGCTGTCCTCTTTTGTTAGACCAAAACCCAAAGTACTGCCAGATGGGCAAAATGGTACCTTTTATTCCAGTGGTAGATGAAGTGCTTAGATTCCGTACTTAAAAGTAGCAACACCACGACGTAACAATACTCTGTTATAGGTAAATGTCCTGCATTCAGAATGTTAAGTAATTGTGCAAACATATTGGTATTAAAATATAAAGTAAAAATAGACATTATGCATTTCATGTTAATGTAAATGTAATATTATTGGATTATAATTACTGATACATTATTGTGTTCACTTTAATGTTGCCGCTGGTAAAGGCAGAGCTAATTTTGACTACATTATAATTTGAACCTATGCTGGGTAGCTTGTAACTTTCCCTCCAGAGATTAGCACTATTTTTCTCAAATGTGTTGGTTTGTCTTTCTGTGATCAGAGAAATTGTCATAACTGGGGCATTATGGGACTAACTTTTTCAATCTATCTTTTATATGGTGAAGGGACGTCTGAGGGTGTCGGGCCACAGAATGCAGTGGACCAGAGTATGGAATTCCATACACCGTGTTCCAGGTCCCCCATTGCTTCTACACATCGACACCAGCTGCAAAGTTGATCAAGTGAGAAACACATTCTAAGGGTGGGGTGATTTGAGAGAGTACTATTAAGTCTTCTATCAGTGATAAGTTCAGGTCAAACTGTCATTTCTCAAGTGCTTTTTTTTTTTTTTTTTTTTTTTGAAAACTTAGTGTAATGAAAATTATCCAATATTTATAACATGAATTCTGTCCCAAGCTGACCTTTTTCACAACAATCCTTTTAGTTTAAGTTGTATAGCGTAAGCTGTGCATGTTTATAACTGGTTTCACTCTGCATTTGTATCCACATGTAAACACAGGGTCAGAATTAACTGCAATGTGTATAGGTTTACCTACTGTATGATAATGAAGTGTTGTCATTGTGCATTAAACCAAAAGTTCACCAAGCCCTACTGCTTTATGAAAATGCAACTGATGTTCATAGCTAACAGCTTGACATTAATGATGTCCTTCTTTTTAAGACCTGCTCAGATGAAAGTGAACCAGTAAGTTGGGAATTTGATAGTCCAGCTAGCAAATAGACATTTAATTCAATTTGGATAAGCTTGTTGGGTAACAAGGTAAAGACCATTCTGTGTGTGTTTTTACTTTACAGATGTGGCGGGGTTACGTTTGGTGGAATTGAGATTTTCCAGAAAGGTTTGTGTACCCAGAATTTATTTATAATGTAAATTTTAATTCATTGAAATGCCTTAAGAAAAACAGCAAAGTATGATAGTTACTTGTAAACAACTTTGAGTAGCCTCTTGAGTTAACAATGAATTTATCACAGATCCTGTTCCTCCCAACAGCCAATAATAACAAGGCATCCACGGCTCTGGAGTTCGCCCTTGAAGCTGCAAAGAAACGCAGCTTTCCATCCAGGTACTATGCACATTCTTGTTATGCTTTGGATATAAACAAGTAAAACATTTAATTTGATTAAGGTGCACTTAAGCATATACTGTCAAATCACATTTCTCATGTTGCAGAAATAGGTTTATACAATTCTTTAAAATATCTAAATAGCCTTCAGTTGTTATTCCTGCATTTCAGACTGTGGGTTTCCTGTCATTTTAAGGACGATTTCAAAACCAACTTAACAGCAGTCAACCTCATAGAATGTTTGTATTTTTTTGTATGATACTGATACACTGCCCATCTTAACATATTGCCACTGTGTTTATACTTGTTTTAACGCACATTCAAGAGTGAGGGGATCAAGGAGTCACCCACCAGAGGAAATCCTAACGTGAGCAATTCTGCCTGCTTCCATAACTGGTTTGCTTGTTTCAGTGGAATGTCCTCTGCTTTTACTTCATTTTTCTTTAATTTGCCCCTCAACAACATGTAAAGTGTGATATGAACTAAGGGGTTTACAGAACAAATTCAATTTATTTTGTCTTTGTATTCAAGATGGAGGGCCTGTGGCACAACATGTAGAATGTCCTTCACAGCCTTGAGAAGGAAAGAGGGCTAGATCCAGCAAACTGCTCCGAATCCAAGCTGATCTGGACCCATTCACTGAGGGACGGAACAACACGATGCAGTAACACCCCGAACATGCAAAGAATCTCTGTTCTGTCAACTATGAGGTAAGAGAAAAATCACACAGCTCTCACATGCTAAGATTTTTAATTTCAGTGCTGTTAAACACATGCTTGTGGCTTAATCCTAGTGTCCAGTCATTCTCAAATTGCATACAGTTGTGACTTAACATGGCTTGTAACATGGCACTTTTCAGATGCTGACATCTTGGGCATGGGTCATGCTGGAGAACAGGTCTCTCCCCTGGACAGTGCAGAACCTGACAACTTTAAAGCTGTAATGACCTTTATTGCTGTAATAATTACCAAGTTACAGAGCCAGATGATGTTGCTTTATCCTTTTAATGGCATTTTTTAACAATTAGGAATATTGCACTGTTTGAGCATGCTGCTGTAATCCACACCCTACTCAAGCAATCAAAGGTGGAAAGCTACACTTTCAACTGACTATGCTCTCTCTCAAACTGGGCGACCTTGTTTGGTCTAAAGTCAAAGTGCACTCTGCGTCTCCCACATGCTGTTACATTGCATGTGCACAGACACTCCACGGTTATGAAGCCTTCTCCAGTGATGCAACTTGTGAATTTTCATGCAGTTGCATCACTGGAGAAGTCTTCATAAATGTGGAAGTGTCCATGCACATGTAATGTAACAGCATGTGGAAGATGTGAAGTTCTCTGCCCTGACAACTTGGGACTCTGGCAGCAGGTACCTTACCTAAAAAGCTGAGCTGGGATGGAGTGGCTGTAAAACAAGAGAGATTGTACAGCTTTATTTTATTTCACTAATAAACAACTGTCAAACAAACTTGCCTGTCTCATGTATGTCCTCAAGAATCCTGGATGCTCACTGTGTATGGATGATTGTCATCACTGTTATTCCATGGCCAGGTATCTGATTGAGGATTGCCTAAAAGGGATGGAAAAGGATGAATTTAAAGCATGATGCCCCTTATAATTTCAACCCATCGTGTGTTATTTTCACAGCTTTGCTTGCTGTTTAACAAAAGTACTGCTGATAGTCTTTTAGCTTTTCTTTAGTGGGTACAGTATTTGTACCTGGGCAGTGAACACAGCAATGTTCCAAGTCCTGAACAAAAATTAAATATTAAGACATCATCTCACCACACATTGAAGTAGTATCCAACTCCAATTTACTGGGGGCAAGTCCCAAGAAAAGGCAAGACTAATAAGTTCATCACTGTGCTGGTCAGACAGGATCATTGCCATCAAGCCTATGACACAGAACAATTTTAACAATTCCCATCACTTTTATGAGTCAGACCATACCATTTAAATAAATTTCACAGTTAACATCCCAGATTTAAGCAATGCTAAACTGAATGAACATTAAATTTCACATTGATAAACTTTCCACAATAATGTTTAATGTTCTGAATAATTTTGTATTACTCACCATCAGAAGTGTTGTCTGGACATCCAGATCTACTACATCATCTGTACAGTTTCAGGTCATCTTCACTGGGTTGTGCAGCTCTGAGGTCTGGACTTGATGACGTTCTCAGCACCGTCTTCAACAACAAAATATTGTGCAGTATACTGTATATGACCTGTGTTGAATGCATTTTGTTTTTCAATTGTACTTTGAAACATCTCTTGAATAATGGCTGCCACCAACAGGACAGGATAGGCTGCAGGGAAAACTAAATGTGTATATATAATCTATACAAAGCATGGCAAGTCCTATTGTGCATATTTTTAAAACATAGCAAGTGAACACAAGTAATGATTATTAGAGTACTAGTACAATCCTCTACTTGGAAGCTTGGTATACCAGTTAATTATGTTCACCCATTATTTGGCCCCAAAGAGGGGGGCTGTCACACAATGATGTCATAAATCTTCTGAGCTCCACAATAAGCAACACCATTTTCCACTCCTAACCTTAAAAATCCTTGAACCCTATCCTCACACCCAAGCAAGGAGCAGATATGTGGCTTGACACATAGCATCTGCACTTTATTTGCTCATGCTATACAGTGGCTGGCCCCACTGGCTTGTAGCAGCATTCAGGTCTGAGATCCAGGTCCACTCAACTGTCCAGCCACTGATGCTGTTCTACCAAAATTGTCAAACAGAAGAATAAACTACTAACAACCCTACTGAATTAATAGCCATATGATCACCAATGCCAATACAAATTCTGTGTGGGTGTGAAACTGCAGGCAAATCTACAGGATCATCAGGGAGACCAGGGGTGGGACTATGTACACAAGTACATGCTGGCCATATAATCATTTAGCCAATATTCAGCTCACTTTCTTAGTATCTTGTTATAACAAGAAACCATTCTCTCATTTACATGAAATGCGATCACATTAAAACATGATTTTATAACACCGGCAACTATTTTCTTGTAACAGTAGGAACCTGCACAGCAGCAAAATCTGTGAGTACTTATTTATGAAAATATCTAATCTTTCCCACCCCTAGCGGGCACATTTGAAGACTTAACAGTGTGTTCCAGTCCCAGAACCACCTGCCTCTTTGCCTGCACCCACACCCCCAACACAGTCCTCCATCAGCGTCTACTTAATACTATGTCAACCATTCCAAACAACAATCAGTAACTTACAGCTAGTTGATGTCTGTTAGCTACAAGCTGCCCTAGCCATCATATTTTGAATAACACAAACTTCAACTAGCTTTGGCAATCAACCAATATCCAGCCTTGGTAATCACCAACAAACCAACCACATTCCTCTTTAACATCATATCAGCTTGCTAATGCTAGTGGGCCTCAGGCCTACTTCAAGGATCAAACATTTGTAAACAAAGCCATGCCCCTGTGCTAGTTTGCCTCAATTTAACAGTCATATTACACACATATGTTAGAGCTTACAAGTTGATCTGCTCTACTAGTTTTGCACTTACCTATCTTTGCCTCAGTCACATTTCTCTTCCAGAGCAAGCAGCAGGTTCTCCCAGGTGTTTCATTACATGCCTTAGGCTCTCCTACAGACACAGATGAGGGACATGCACGTGTTCCTATTCATACTTCAGACTGAGGGTCTGCCTTCTGTCTGCGTACGTTGACAGTTTCTAAGCATTGTGGTACATACGCAGTCGGGGCTGTTGCTGTGGACCATCAGTGCGGACCCTCGTGGACCTGTGAAGATGATGACCTGGGTTAAAATTATTCAAAGGAAATTCTAACTTAGCTATGTTAGCAATTTCTTTACTTGTAAAATAGGCTGCATTCTACTATGTCTACAGTATTATTACAAGTCACAAGAATCACCAAAAACATTTTAGCCTACTTCACCTATTCTGGAGGCAGCTAAAGTACCACTTTGCCCACCTGGCAGAACTTTGGGTAAAAAAAATAAATAAATAAATAAAAACCTACTGAAAATGCAATTTTAATTTGTTCTTATGCAATACAATGTAAAAGATGGGCACATGACAGATCTTCATAACCATCTGCGTATACGCAACACACTACATCCAAAAAGACTACCACACAGAGCAGAGAGGGAATATTTCAATTTTTACAAGCCTATGTATGAAACTATACCATGGCTTCTATTGTTCTGGTGAACTTACTTGTCCATAGCTTAATGAAGAAGGGGCATAGTGTCAATTTGCTCTTGAAGAGGGCCAATATAAAGTGCGTGTTTCCCATTGTTGGTGATGATCTTCAGCATCTCAGCTGTGTAGCTTCATGCTCCCTGTGCCACCAGAGGCAGGTTCCTCTGGCAACTGCCACACTGAATGCAGTACAGAAGACATAACTAAGAATGTGTTACAAAACACATGAAAAAGTGATTTAAAAAACACTTCCATCCATCCATCCATTATCTATAACCCTTCTCCTAATGAGTATCACGGGGTGAGGGAATCCCAGGTGACACTGGGCAAGAGGCAGGGTCCACCCTGGACAGGTCGCCAGTTTATCACAGGGCAGACACTTGCTGACAGACAACCACACATGCTCCTACAGGCAATTTAGAGTCACCAATCAACCTAAGCTGCATGTCTTTGGACTGTGGGAGGAAGCTGGTGTACCCGGAGAGAACCCGCACAGGGAGAACATGCCAACTCCAGGAGAGAACCCGCACAGGGAGATCATGCCAACTCCGGTCAAAGTCAACAAAGTGGCCAGGAACCTTCTTGCTGTGCACTGACAGTGCTAATCACTGCATCACCATGCTACCCATTTAAAAACATTTTTAAAATGAAAATTGTCTTCATTTGCAGAGCACATCTCTGTCTATTTAGCATTTTCTACACAATATCTGACTGTCATAGGCACTTAGTGAATTAACTACACACACACAGTCCCTCATTCATTAAGCTCTCTTCAAATACATTTAGAAATCATAACAAGACTCCATTACCTGCAGCTTTATACAAAACCCATCCTCCCTCCAGTTAATCTTCATTTCTGGATACTCATGGAGAGCAGTAACCTAGAGTTGGATATGAAATTCCCCATATAATTTTCTCCTTGGTTAATGGGCCAGAATTCTCTAACATGAAGTTTTGACATCATTAAATCCTGGCAAATCCTGATTGATGTTTTGATTCTGAACAAACAGGCTTACCAAATCGGTCACAGCCGATGGGTTTGCCTTGACTTCAATCTAAATGGAGGCTCTGTCTTTAACAAGGGTGACTGGCGGCAGAGCTTAACACTCAATTAAAAGTGCGCGTACTTGCCTAAAAAGGAACTCCACTACAAGAAAGAAAGAAAGAAAGTGTGGCAAAGAGCAATGGCTTCTAAACACAACTTGACTTTATGGTGTTGAAAAACAAGAAAAGTGCAACTCTCGCCTAGATATGTTCCACATGTCCATTTTAATGTTTCTGCAGACAATAACATGCTTATCATAATGCTGAAAGTCAAATGCTGTTCCAACAGGGGATAAGTGATGGCAAAGGTTCCTAGCTGCAGGTGTTAACGATTAGCTTCAGTGTTAATATAAGCATACAAAAGAAAAGCAAAAATGTACTAGACGGCTAACTGTGCCTAACCACACCTGGAACCAATTAACGTTAGCAGGCTTCGGCTTGAAAGGCGTCTTGCTAGCAGAGTTTTGCTAACGTTAAATAAAATAGCACGCTTGAAGTCGAAAAGAAATTTGTTCAACTGCTTTACCTCAATAACAGATAAACACCTACGTGCTACATACATAGAGAACACTACACATAAAATTTTACTACGATTTTCTACTGCTACCCACCTGAGTAGCAATTGAGCCAGCGTCCATCTTGAGGTTCAAACCATGTGACACCCAATTGCCCCCTGATTGGACAGTATGACTCTGCTCTGTGATTGGCAGGGGTGGAAAGTAACTAGGCGGATTTATTCAAGTACTCTAATTAAGTACAATTTTGAAGGATTGGTACTTTATCTGTACTGTATTTCTTTTTTGTGCTACTTAATACTTTGACTTCGTTATATTTTAGAAGCAGATATTGTACTTTTTATTCCACGACTTTTAGTTTGTAACTTTATTTACTAGCTATTTTCAGAATCAGATTAATAAAACAAAATACAGTATAATAAGAAGAATTTATTGATCCCTGGTTGGAAATTCACAAACGACCCAGCAGTAAGTCAAATAATAAGCATATATATGTAAGATGTATTGCTACTTTACTTAAGTAAAGGATCTGAGTACTTCTTCCACCACTCGTGATTGGTTTATCACTTTCCAAATAGAATCAAGTTTAAAGACATGGTCAGAATTCGTATTTGTTGCTTGAGCATAGTACATGCAATTTGCTGCTTCCTAGCTGTACACAGATATTCACAAACACTTAATTAGCCTATTTTCAGTAACAATATATTTGCATATTTTATTCACACCTTCAAAAATATTTATTTTTACAAATAAAAATCTTTCCACACATATATGAAATGTTTTTACAATTACAAATATTTTCTACACATATTCGAAACGTTTTTACAAGCTCAAAATCTTTGTGGCCCTGTACTGAGTCTATAGACCCCATTTACAGTCATGGTCAAAAATATTGGCACCCCTGCAGAGACCTCCACACAGTTTTAGTCTCTAACTGTGACCCTTTACAAAGTAAAATGATAATTTAATGATTTATGTTAATTCATTTCATATCACTTCAGTTAGTTTACATAGATTTATTCTTAAAATATTTACCTTTTTCTCTGTTATCATGTGTCTTATCATATCATGTCTTGATGTGATTTTTTAAAACCATCCCTACACTTTATTTTTACACTAATATTTGCTGTCTGATGTGATGTTTTATTGTGTTATTTGTTTCAATAACTATAAAATGGGTTTTTCAAAGCATTTTCAGGGCCTGCAGATACCAAGAAGGTGTGTGTTAACACAACGGATGCATGGAGAGCTGTTGTTGTTGACACTGACATTATGTTAATTACAAACCACAGCAGGTTTTATGTCTTTGCAATTTCCGCCATGTTGCCCTTGAGTAAGGCTTTTTCTATTAATATTGCTATTCAGTTAAATATATTGTGCAAACATACAGCAGAAAAAAACTGCTTATGCTCAGCAGCCTCTACTGGATAAAAAGAAATTTCACAAATGAAAATATATCAGACCAGACTCACACAAAGCATTCCAGCATCCAAATACTTTACCTCCATCCATCCATTATCTACACCGCTTATCCTGAAGAGGGTCGCTGGGGGTCTATCACAGTCCAACAACTGTGGGAGGAAGCTGGAGTGCCAGAAGAGAGCCCACGCAGGCACAGGGAGAACATGCAAACTCCGCACAGAAAGGCCCCGGGTCAGCTGCAGCTTGAATCCTGAACCTTCTTGCTATGAGGTGTCAGTTCTAATCACTGCTCCACCATGCCACCTAAATATTTTACCTTTAATAGAAAAATAAGGAGTAGGTGGAACAAGCTGAGCGCACATCTCATGCAACTGTACTACTCACATTTGTGAAATTATGAGTTTTGTTAGGCATTTGGTCAGTTCTCAATATAATACAGCCCTGACATTTTCACATATGGATGAACGTATAAAGTGTTACAGTAAATTTAAAACTAAAAGAAACTCCAGGTTGATGGATGCATTTCATTATGAGAACATAGGCCTCTGTCTGTACAATATTAGACAGCTGCCAGAACCATCTGTGGCCAACACATGCACACACTCACACGCATAGCTTCTTACTGACCACTAAAGGTTGAAACATCACCAAAACATCAATACATTCCCATCAGTTTCTTTATCAGCATGTGTTTAAAGGCACGTACACACACGGTAACCACTCATTCTCACACACAAACACAGTGAAGATTGTTGGATTGTTGTTGCAGCTGGGAAGGAGACAACCAATACACGGAATTCCCAAAGGTCAAATGACAAACAGGGCAGGGGAATGTTTACTGATAAACTGGATTTAAACTCTGTGAGTGCTTTTTGTCACACAACCATGATATTACTCTATGTATTACATAAAGTCCATGTTATACAATGTATTTGTTTATGCATGTGTGGGTGGAATTCATTGTACATGTGTACATTAATTTGAAAAAAGCACAAGAGGAAGGGATAAATCAAGAAGGGTGAATCAAGGATAATCTGGAGGAGAAGGAATATTCCAATCCAGTGCTTTCACTCTAATCTTCTTATGATTTAAGAGTGTTGCGTTATTTTTACGGTGTAATAAATTTATGTTGCAATCAAACTCTCTGCGAATATTAATATCTAGGACACTGCACTGTTGTCTGAGCAAAAAACGAATTAGCCTTGGTGGAACAGGGTTTGAATTCTAAGGAGATGTGTCATCTTAGCACATCGGGGGATATAATTTTACACTGTATATGGCTGTTAACACTTGTTTGATGTAGATAAAGGCACCCAGCGGTCACACTTTAATTGTATGTTGTTGTGTTAGGCTGTGCCTGGTATTTACAGTGCAGCTCTGGAAGCATGTGACTTCTGTGTGGATAGATGATTTTATCCTAGAATACGACTGAAATACCAGTTTTAAATTAAGCTTTCACAATTAATCAAGTGATTGTATTTATATAATTTTCTGTTTTGGGGCATTGAGTGCCTCAGTTAGAAAGCAACTGCAGAGAGATGAATGAGAATGGTATGGTCCTTAAATGACTCAGTGAAGCCCCTTTAACCTTTAAACAGATGAAAACTGTGTGTTTAAAATAGTTCTGTCTTCATTAATCCCTACTCTTAGTGCTGTAGAATTTATAGCCACATTTGTGATTTGTCTTAAAGTGGTGAGTAATACTCTCCAAATCATTTCTCTCAGTTGTTTGACAATGGGTATTTATTTCCCTCCAACAGTATGTTTCACAGATTTGGGATTACTCAGTCTAGAGGTGAAAATGAGTTTCCTGATCCTCCTTTTTGATCTTGTGCTTTTTTAAAACCTATTCTTTACTTTTGCCCTTTCCTCCTCCCTTTGTCCATTCTCACTGATCTCTTACACTTCACCTAAATTGATTTACACTTACTGGATTTACTGGAAGTCACTCCTCAAACAAGCATCTAGAATAATTCCCAAATCCCATTTCTGCTTCTCAAAGTCGCCTCTTTCTTCTTTGTCTCCTATCATTAAAGAGATCAGGACTTCCTGTTAACTATCTAAGACCAAAAATATCACTAAACTCCAAAATGCCAGAAAACCACACACATTCTTCTACACATGGACGAACACGTGCAGATTTCTTAAGTCAACAATGGTTAAAGCTAGGTTCAAGCAACTTGTAGCATAGTACACAGCCTAACCGCTGTGTGCTGAGTCAGTAATGGGTCACAGTGACCGCGTTGTCTCTTTGTCCATAACTCTCATGTTACAGGAGCTGGTTATCTATTAGGAGGCATGTAAAACTGAGCACACACATCCACGTGGGGTCCCTTACACATAGCTTACTGAACAGAACAACAGTCCACATACCTCATACTACATACTGTCATACTGTTCTTTTTTTCTATCCCTAAATTATAAACAAAATCCCAAATTCAGTAAAAGCTGAGGACTGTCTAAAATGTCCTCACTCGATCAGTGTAAATCTCCAGCAATGCACAAGGACACAAACACACAGCAGGTGGTGCATCCCAGCTCTAATTAGCTGGATGTTTGCAGTAATAATAGATTTCTCTCATAATTTACGCAGAATTATTAGATTACAAAAGAATCTGATTGGTCTAAATGAGTAACTAATGAGAGCGCGGTAATGAAGTTTCAGGATGTTTCAGGAAGTAGGAGGATACTGAGAGCATAACATTAAATTGCACTCTGAACCACACACACAAAGTTATATACAGTTTGTTTCATCAGCTGTGTCTGTGTCATGCTAGATGCTTTGAACAGATCCTGGACTGGCTCCTTAAATGACTCAGTGAAGCCCCTTTAACCTTTAAACAGATGAAAACTGTGTGTTTAAAATAGTTCTGTCTTCATTAATCCCTACTCTTAGTGCTGTAGAATTTATAGCCACATTTGTGATTTGTCTTAAAGTGGTGAGTAATACTCTCCAAATCATTTCTCTCAGTTGTTTGACAATGGGTATTTATTTCCCTCCAACAGTATGTTTCACAGATTTGGGATTACTCAGTCTAGAGGTGAAAATGAGTTTCCTGATCCTCCTTTTTGATCTTGTGCTTTTTTAAAACCTATTCTTTACTTTTGCCCTTTCCTCCTCCCTTTGTCCATTCTCACTGATCTCTTACACTTCACCTAAATTGATTTACACTTACTGGATTTACTGGAAGTCACTCCTCAAACAAGCATCTAGAATAATTCCCAAATCCCATTTCTGCTTCTCAAAGTCGCCTCTTTCTTCTTTGTCTCCTATCATTAAAGAGATCAGGACTTCCTGTTAACTATCTAAGACCAAAAATATCACTAAACTCCAAAATGCCAGAAAACCACACACATTCTTCTACACATGGACGAACACGTGCAGATTTCTTAAGTCAACAATGGTTAAAGCTAGGTTCAAGCAACTTGTAGCATAGTACACAGCCTAACCGCTGTGTGCTGAGTCAGTAATGGGTCACAGTGACCGCGTTGTCTCTTTGTCCATAACTCTCATGTTACAGGAGCTGGTTATCTATTAGGAGGCATGTAAAACTGAGCACACACATCCACGTGGGGTCCCTTACACATAGCTTACTGAACAGAACAACAGTCCACATACCTCATACTACATACTGTCATACTGTTCTTTTTTTCTATCCCTAAATTATAAACAAAATCCCAAATTCAGTAAAAGCTGAGGACTGTCTAAAATGTCCTCACTCGATCAGTGTAAATCTCCAGCAATGCACAAGGACACAAACACACAGCAGGTGGTGCATCCCAGCTCTAATTAGCTGGATGTTTGCAGTAATAATAGATTTCTCTCATAATTTACGCAGAATTATTAGATTACAAAAGAATCTGATTGGTCTAAATGAGTAACTAATGAGAGCGCGGTAATGAAGTTTCAGGATGTTTCAGGAAGTAGGAGGATACTGAGAGCATAACATTAAATTGCACTCTGAACCACACACACAAAGTTATATACAGTTTGTTTCATCAGCTGTGTCTGTGTCATGCTAGATGCTTTGAACAGATCCTGGACTGGCTTCAAAGCCTGAGACACACACACACACAGAACAAAACAGTATTTTCCCAAACATCATGCATCCAAACTGACAAGTAGTAATCTACATTTCAAACATGATATTCATACTAAAAAAATAGTTTAATATTTTAGGAAATACACTTATTTGCTTTACTGCAGAGCCTTAAATGAAAAGAGTGATACAGTAAATATGAAGGTGGAGCAAGGGGAAACAAGCACTTTACACACAATAATATAAAATTATGCATTATTGCAGCTTTAAGACATGAAAATGAGTGTTTACAACCAAAAAAACGAGCTGAATAATGTAGTGGACATTATGTTTGCTGCAACACTGATGCTAACAGTGTGTTTTCTAAAACGCCGTCTGGGAGAGACTGTACTATACTGAACACTGATTTCTGAAATTAGCTTGAATTTCACATGAGCATTTAAAGAGACTTCTAAGAGAAATACACATTCATGTTCCAGTCAACAAAATATGATTCAATTTGTTCATTCCATGAAGATTAATGGAAGCTAAATGTGCCCACAGATGCATATGGCACAGTAGGAAAGGTAGGGAAGCAGAAGTGTTGAGGGCAGTTACAAGCAGACACTTGAAAATATACACACAAAAACATGCAGTTTCATGTAAAGGGCAGTCTACTCACACGACCTTGCGAGGTTGCCTCTATGATCTTTTAATCTGCATGGATCAGCACTAATCCCCAGTCCTGCTCATCTCGTTTCCACTCTGGTGACCCTGGTGGAAAATATCAGGGCCAAACAGGATGTGTGGATTATGGCTTGCTTGTGATAAAGTTGTCTGATATTTCAGTTTCTCTTTCAATTTCAAGAGTCAAATGGGAAGACTTTGGTCATATATCTTTTAGCTTCTTCAGCAGTTACAGTTACTGTGAGAGTTTCTTCAGCCCCGTAATGGTACAGTTTCCCCTCCTTTTCTCCCCTTACAGGGTGAATACTGTACAGCTAAACATGATTAGACCTGAGTTACCACTTCACCAACCAGGCAAATTCACAGGAATGGGACGGATGTGAGATCACTTGAATCCAAGTGGACCTGTGGGCAAATTTGAAGAAATTTCCTCAAAGGAGTTTCTGAAATATCACACTCACAAGAATGGGATGGACATGAGGTCACAGTGACCTTTAGCCACCAAAATCTAATCAGTTCATCCATGAGTCCAAGTAGATGTTTGTTCTGAAGACATAAAATGCATATGATCTTACGCAGAGAGACTAGAGAGCATCTCATCATCTCCTCTACAGGTGAATCTATGCATAATGATAATTCAGTCCATTGCAGCACCACCCTCATAAGCCGCTGTCAAACCTTTAAAGCTGTCAGCACCCCCACCCTCCTTCATCTGGCTAATATGTCAGGTACAGCATGTAAATGGCATGACCTTTGTTCACTCATTCACACTGTACCTTCAGTATGTGTGTGTGTGCGCGCTTGGTGTTACTCAGATTGTGGGGACTCGACCTTCTTTGTGGGAACCCAATACTGGTCCTCACCATGCAAATCACTGAATTTTAGAGTGACAACATGGTTTAAAGGGGAAGGGTTAGGGTTAGGCAAGTAGTGGTTATGGTTAAGGTTAGAATAAGTCTATAGCTCAGTAAGTCAAAGTAAAATCTTGTGTGTGTGTGTGTGTGCGTGTGTGCATGTGTGTGAGAGAGAGCGATTTCCATTAGCACGTTAGCTTGTGTGATGTTATGTCACAGCTCATACTCAGCCACCTGTGCAGTGAATTAGTGTAATGGAAGTGAATTTGCATATGGAGAGTGTGAGGAGAGTGTAAGAGTGTAAGAGAAAACTGAACAAAGGAGGAATGAGAGGGACCAACAGTGCTGAATTTATCACTGAATGTTTGGTAAGGTTCTGGTTTAAGTGTTATTTGACTGTTACATGCAAGACCAACTTACCAATCACTGTGTCTTGGTTCACACTCACATCTCGTAGCAACTGAGAAACCCACAGCATACTACCTGCTCAGCACCAAAAGGCAAACAGAAAAGTTAGCTACTGGCTTATACTAATATAGTTGAGCATTTAGCACCTGAAGAGACACAGATTCCTAGTTGGTAGAGACCAAAAACGGAGCTATGAAAGAGGGAACATTAGATTAGGGACACGTACTGCTCCACAGCAAGATGTGTAAATAAGCAACTGTTTACTGAAAAGTTCACCATATAAACTTAACAAGTGCTGACACCTCAGTGTTGTGTTCACAGTTTGTTTTTGCTGCCCCCAAGAGGCCAAATGATCCGACTTTGTTGGCTTATTTCATTCCTGAACATCCAAAAAGAAACATCAAAAAGGTTGAGGTTGACACACAATCTCAACCTGATGACTCATTAATTCCCATGGATGGCTTACAGAAAAGACCTATTGGGCGCAGACATTATGGGTCAAGGGGCCCCTGGTCTTCATCTGCAAAATATCCCTAAATGAGACATAAAACAAGCCTACAGAGATTCAAGAAGACCACAAAAAACTACCAAAAAGAACTAGGAAGAGACAAATGAATAGTTGCAAAGTGACCACAAATAAATTCAAAATGTTTGTAGACTCAAGACTCAACTACTAAACCCAACATGTAAAACCACCACAAAGAGGTATTAAATATCTACAAAGAGATGCAAAATGTCCTCAAAGAGACACAAAACATACACAAAAACAATAAATGACACAAAACTACAAGACACAAAACATCCAAACAGATGCCAAATAATGCAAAACCACCATACAAAGATGTAAAACATCTACAGTGAGATATAAAATGTGCTTAACAAAATGCAAAATGTCTTTTAAAAAGGGGCAAAATAACCACAAATAACAGGGTTCACAGGTCTGCGGTTGTTGTGTGTCTATTTCAGTGGTCTGTGCCCTGTTAGTCTATGTCAGTACCAGAGATCCGGTACCAGTTCCAGTATCTAGAGTGTAGCTAGCACACTGGTGGGCACCAAACTATCTCATAACGCACAGAAATGAACACCACTATGAAGCTCTATATAACCAGAGGTTTTGTAGTTTTGTCACTGTCACAGTTGATCAAATACATATTCACTGACTCACTCGTATAGTTATACTAATGATGTAAGTGCATGTATACACAGTAACAGCCACAGTCTTTCTTCCTTATTAAAGTTACTTGGTGTTTTTATTTACATCATATCAGACAGAGGATGTCCTCATTGTCAGTCTGCAACTAACAGCAAGCCTCTTCCATATACACAACTAATTCCAATGACAGGGTCAAACAGGATTCATGGCCAGGGTCAGACCTGAATTGTTACAACATGAGGTCAAAGTACAAAACACCGACCAGATTTTTGACATGTGACATCAACCAGCGGTTCCTAGAGTGAGGACTGAATGTGATTTAGAATTATTATAGTAAATGTCCCAAATATTTAGCTTTATACTAGGCTGGTGAATAAACATTGTGTTAGAGAAGCTACTCATCTAATAGGGATGAAGCTTTATAGACTGGAGATCAGTGGAGAAATAACCATCCCTCAGGGAGGTGAAGTGTTTGTTTTTAATAAAAAATTTAAGGGACCCTGGATATAGATAATATGCATCAGCCATGTTCGCTCCTGTTGTTAAAATCAAACTATTGTTAAACAAATAGAAAGTCTCCCATCAGTTTAGAGCCATTAACTTGGCATCTAGACAGTTTATAACCTAGTCCTGCAAAAAACAAAAAACAAACAAACAAACAAAAAACATATATTGCGCAATTTTATACTTAAATAAAATGATAGTGTCATGCTCACTCAGTTGAAGAATAAAAATGTGATGTGGTGTGGAGTGAAAAAACAACAATAGCGTCAGTGGAATAATGTGCCAGATTTTCTGTTATTTGAGAGACACTGGCATGTTATGAAAACCAGCTTCAGATGGCACATACTGAAACATTTAGTATTTGGTTGAAACTGAAAAAGGACAAAGCAGTGCAAAATGTGAAAGCATCAAAAAAGTTTGTGACTTATACCAAAAAGGCTTCTTTATAATTTTATAAATTTACATTTTTCAATTTGAATAATTGGTCTAAATTGTACAGATTTGTTACAGGTACAGTCGGCCTTTATTAACAAATGATTATTTTTGCACACTGGCAAACTCAGAATGTCCTTGCACTGTTTGACACAGACAGACTCACACCGGTAGGCATTCAGACATCAGTTGCTGGAGTTCTGCATGTGTTAAGCTTTGGCCTACTGGATCCTGCCACACTTGCCTTCTTAGGCTCATGTCAACATTTGTTCATGTCTGACACACTTCTACAGTACAGCTCAGTTGTATTGCCATTTTAACTGTGATGTGTGCAGTAATGGCCCCTGACTGACAACGTTGTACGCTAGAGAACCAGTACCTGCAACACCTCCGCATCATACCAGTAAGACGTGTGAGATCTGACCAGGCGTCTAATACGCTGCCAAGAATTTACAGACTTGGAGAATTGAGCAGAGGGACACACGTTGCGTTGGTGTAACGCTGGTGTACATCTTTTATTTAGCCAAGATGCAGAATTCAGGCGCTGCTGAAGTTATAATACACCTGCACTATAGTTATGCTACAACAGATTTATGCATATATTAGAATGTTGCCAGGATGATGGTCAAATTGCATTTGTACATCTCTGTATGTGAAGGCCTGCCTTGGAAAGATCTAACACAAGCTGAATAACACAACTGTCAAATGCACTAAGGAAATTCAGTCTTTTTTACTGTTGATGTAGTGCTATAGCAGCATCCAGTAGGTTTGCAGTGGTAGTGATCAGCTACAATAGCAACCACGACTGCCATTATTAACTCTGTATTCATAAATGGCCATCATTAATTGGCACTTCCGCACCTTTCTAATTATATCTTTCTAATCTTGTTTACTGGGTACTTGCACCCTGTGAGGCTCTGTTGTTATAAATCTTGCATGTTGCTTGTCCTGTGTTGCTGATTCAACCCAGAACTCTTTAGGTTCCTCTCTTCTAGCTGGCATTTTGTTTATCTCTGACATTTGTGAAATGATACTTCATCATCAGGGCAAAAATAACCATTATCCACGCTGTCAGATTGTGAGACGTGGGAAACATCCCTCGGGCTCTTAGAACTATTCTCTAGTGTACTTGGCAATTTATACTGAACTAGAGTTTACTTTTGCTGAGCAGGCTTGTCGATGTTACCATAAAGAGAAATGTCAAAATGTTGTTCTTCTGAACCACAGATGTACTACTACTATACAGAACATATGTTTCACTGACATTGCAGCTGGGTGTTGTAGATTCTGCTTCTTTATAATATCACAAAAGCATGAATGTTACAGTTTGGGCTGTGTTGGCACAAAGCAATACATCAATTGTAACAACATTAAGCTGTAGCAAGCCCCCACAAAAATTTAAGATACTGTCTTAAATATCAGGTGGCCACTTGTCTTTAAATCAGTTTATTCTGAGATAAATTCTCTAGGGTTAAGATTACAAAGTTGGCACTCTAAACAATGGCACCTAGATTAAAAAAAAAACTTCTTAGGCTACAAACTATGCTCCCATGGGCTGATCGGATTTATGTTATGTGTTATTGTTGTCTAGTCCATTGTTACCTCTATACTGCATAGTATACTTTAACTGAAAGGAAACTATTTTGAAAAAAAAATATTCTCCAAAATATATTTGTCTGTTTTCATTGCCAAAACTTATTAGGACCTTTACAGAACATGCTGTAAGAGCTTCAAGCTTTCTGATGCTACTGTTTTCAGAGAATCTGATGACAGCAAAAAAGATTTGATGGTAATAATGAACTATGACAAGAGTTGTGCTTCTAGCACTTGTAATCCCTCTCCAGTTCAAATGCTGACAGGTCAAAATGAAATCTTTTTAATTTTTTTTTTCATGTCCTCTAATATGGCACATTACTTTGTTATGCTGATGTCCATTTCAGTTAAAGGGGGTGACGCCCTTCAGTGGAAGAAATTTCAGCCAAATGCACATTAGTGTATTATTCTTCTGATGAATCCCTGCCAAGGCCCTGCCAATGAGTTGACAAAGTGTTTGGCTGTCAAAATGTTCCAGTACTGCCCTTTAACAGCTGAACACACACAACATAACAAACGTTTTACTTGAAAGCAGGCTCAGCCTGTGCTGCAGTGTCTCAGAATTCAGCTTGGCATATTTTAGATGAGAGATTCAGCAGCCTCTATTTCATTTGGCAAGATGTACTGTAGTAAAAAATGGAGCATATTATTGCCTTTTCCACTCCTGGTGGAGTTTTGTGATTGTGAATTAAAACCTGGAATTCTCCACTGTCAAAAAAGCAGTTAGCTTTTTTTTAAAGAGTATTTAATAACAGTTAATGTATTAAGTTACTGTGTGTGAAACTTAAGCCATACTGTGATGTTTTGGCCTTTTTGTACACCAAGAGCAAGCACAGACAGCTGGTACTACTTCAATTCACAATCAATAAACAGTCAGGATTGTTTCAGTAGTAAGTTAAAATTAGGATGTGATGTTGACAAATCTGTGTGTACTTTTAATGTCAATAAATGCATTTTTATCAGCATGAAAAATGTCATATTTAATGGAAAAACAGCTTTTCTTTCTCTGAGGGCCTGTAACAGCCAGCTGTTGATATTTGATTTGTACTTCACTGATGAAAAACAAAGATATAGTAAGTACCCACAAGAGTCAAGGGTGTAAAATACTTGGACTATTCAACTGTAACCCCTCAGTTCCCATTATATGATGACAGTTTATGTAGATTCTCTTAAACTTAAATATGAATACTGTTTTTTTTTTTGCATGGGGTTAGTGTATACCTTTCCAACTATGTGGTAAAATATAATGCAACCAAAAAAGATTATGTATGTAAATGTGGTGACTGTGTACAAGTTTATTTTATTACTATATTATTAGTACTATATTTTGTGTAGCTATTATTGGTTGATCAGGACAAAGCAAACTCTTAGAGGAACGCTTAATTTATCTTGTTAGCCACTCATAAACATCTCCAAATGAAAGACAAGTAGTCAGGACTCCTCATAGACAATACAACAGGTTCAAATGTGGCTCATAACCTTTGGCACATATATTTCTCCCATTCAGTACTTGTCCTCTCCAGTGCAGCTGATGAGACATAAACACCATGAAAATATCTTCAAATAAGTGAAAGCATAAGATAAATGAAGCGCTCCTTTTGTCCATCTTCAATTTGCCCTCATTTGAACAGTTAAAAAGGCACTGAGCTGGGAATCACTTTCAGTCCTACACACGTTACCTGCAATGAGATGGCTGAGTTGCTGTTAATTACAGTTTGCTGCGAGTTAGAAGCAGAAACGGCTCTAAGATCAGCTTTGCATTTGTCATTTTGTGATTGCTTTTTAAACATATCTCCTTACTTAAGCCTCTCATTTGTCTCTCTCGACCCTGACCAATTGGTCTTGGGATGATGGGTGGCTGTAACAAACAGCAGATGGTAGGAGTATGTTTGGTAAAGCATGACATGATTTAGGGACAGCTGGAGGGTGAGTGAGACGAGTTGTATTGTTCTTCAGTAGGGGTTTTGCTTGTACAAGAGGTCATGATGCACAGCAAACATCTGTCACGCTGCTGCCATTTTCCAAAGGGCCATACAAGTTTTATCTTCAGCACCCACCTTTTTAATGGAAAGATTTGTTCTATTTGCGCAGTTCCATTGCTAATGAGTGCAGCACTGCTCATGTAAATGGGAATGGTCTCTGTTCCATGGTTTGTCCAAGCATTGCTGCCTCTAGACCCAGGTCAGGGTACTGTATGGGAGAGAGGACAACTGGAGAGAGCTAGAAACCAGGTATGTAGCTGAGGAAGCCAGCTAGGTCATTATGCTTTATATCAAAGTTTCTCCACTAACTGACCCCATCAGTACACTTCCTTGGGAAGAGGTCACTGTGGGACTAGCACAGTTGCTTTTCCTCAGGTCTCCCTTGTTCGGAGGGGGGGGGGCATGTTGTTCTTTTTCATCTATGAGTAAATAAATTCATAGTGTCCATCCAACACTTATGAATTCAAGTTTTCATATAATGCATTTGCACATGCAGAGATCTGTATCATCGAGTTCCTGCATGTTCCACTTGTTCAAATCCAGCCTCTCGCATCATGAATATCAGTGTTTCCCAGTCTGTGTATGGGACCTACAAACTTGTTTCTCTTAGAAACATGGTCCCAATGCTGTAGGAGACTTTCCTCATAGATGCTGGGGGAGCGGAGCGAGAGCTGGTCAGTGAGGCGTGGCTGTGGGATGTCCCTGCCTCCAGGAAGTAGCATGTCCCTGGGATCTCTTTGGGAAAATTCTCAGGGAGCTCCAGCCGTGAACGAGGGATGAATGAAAAAGAACGGTCATCTTTCAGCAACCTGTCAGTGATAGGCAAGTAATAGAACATAAACATTACACCACAGGAGTAATCACTCAGTGCAATAACAATAACAGGCAGCAGTAGTTTTGTGCCAACAGGTGTGTGCCTTAGCTTAATCTATTTGACCTTTTCCACTGTAGGAACCTACCAGCCTGTAACGGAACTTGTGCACCTTGTCCCAGGTACCCCTCAGGAGGTAGTGCTAAATCGAGTTCCAGAAACTCGAAGGGGGGGAGGGTTGGTGCTCAAAAGGCTGTTGTCTGTGATTGGTTAAATGTCAGCATCATCACATCTCAAGTATTAGCCTTACAAGCACAGTGTGTGAACATAAACTCACTGGTTTAGAGGTAAAAGAGGGTCTTCAGCGAGTTGATTGCAGGTAAAGCAGCAAAGATGTCACATTTCTGGAAGTTTGTGTTTTGCTTGTTTAACAGCTATTTGACAAACTGCACATACAGTCTCCACTTGTTCCAGATTTTGTGGCACACATGATTAACAAGGATTGAGATCTCTGCCCTTGTGTACTCGGTGGCTGACACAAGTAATAACACCGTGGAACAGGGAGGTGGAACCGACCACATCAGCCCTTCAAGTTCTGCCAGATTACAGGTATGAAAACCTTCAGGTTACGGCTCGTTAAGTTTCCATGGTGGAGAAACACTAGATGTTGTGGCATTGCCTTTTTTAGACAAAGATAAAGTCCATCACAGCAAACATAATAAGTCATTAGACATGCAACAAGACACATGCACACAGAGTTGGACTAGAATGTAAAGTAAGTAGAGACTGCAGATATAATGTCAAGTGATATACACATTATTATACATGGTCCCCCAAAATTTGTGTGTGTACATGCACATCTGTATGTTTGTATGTATACTGCAGTTACTTACTGGTAAGTTGTGGGACTAACATTGATACACCTTGGATGGCTCCCCGATTCAAACTTGCTGGCCAGGGTCACATTGTTCCCGAACAGGCAATAACGTGGCATTTTAACCCCGACAACGCCTGCCAACACAGAACCTGTGTGGATACCTATCCTCAGCTAAGGGAGAAAAGCAGGAAGAAGGTGGTGAGAGGAGATTGTAAAGAAAAAACAGGTAGAAGGGGAGAAAGATTAAAGCAGTAACAGTAAAGTAATAATGGATTTTCCTCACTACCATCTGACATTTTAGACCAGACCATTTCCAAACATACGGCCGCAAAGACCTTTTTATTTGGTCGACAGCTGGCAGAGTAAAATGCTTAACAGTGCTATGATATGTTAATTCATTTTTCAAATCAAAATAGCGGGTCTGTTCAGCTCAGATGCTGTGTGCGATTCTCTCCCTCTCCCTCTCTCATCCTGATCTTAGCAGGCCTCAACTGGCCTTTAAACTTCTGAACCTCTTTTCTCCCGAGCCACTTAGATATTATCTTTAACAGCCTATATAGATAACAGTTGTTCAACAGGTGTAGAGACACTGCTGGTGCAGCCTTAACAGACATGAGAACTGCTGCCTTCACACCTGCAAAGTAGACACCCATGGCCGGCAGTGCAGAAAGGAGTGACAGAAAAAAGAAACTGACTTGTTGGCTGACACTAGGTGCGCAAAAGTAGCTAATGGACTATAAACTATAAACCACACTGTTGCGTTAGATGATGAGCAAAGTAACGAAGAGGCAGCAGTGTCAGACAAATGAGTGCACAAGGGGAGGACCGGTGTCGCTGATAGTCTATTGTAGAGCTGGTTGACACACTGTTGTCTAATCACTCCTAGCTAGGTGGCTACTGAGTGCAGTCAATGCAGAACTGATTAAAGCAATCATAATGTTAAAGTTAGTGCTAAACATCTGCAAAGAAACTGCAAAAATTTCATTGTAAATGGGTCAAATAAATATGAAAATCTCTTCTGTCCCCTTTATAAAATAACTTAGGCATTATTCTTATAGAACATTCATGATTTGTTTTTGCTATAATAATTGATCAGCAGTGAAAACGATGTGTTAAATACTGACTGTACCATGTAAACACAGCTACTGATAAAAAAAGAAAGAGGATGGAGAAGGAACCAGCAGAGATTTTACATTACTTTCTACTCAATGTACTGTGTGACTGAAGTAAATTAGAGCTCTGTGCATCAATGCATATGATCAGGTTGGACTGCTCTTCAAAAGTTACTGTTGTATGACATGAAATAAAACAAATGGAAAGTATGTTGCATCATGCACCACACATGTAGCTGCCTATGTTAAGGTTGGTCTGCTCATTCTGAATTTAATGAATATAACATTATATTTGAGGCTGTCAGACAGTTTCAATGATGTTTGTTTCATTCAAGCTCATTATAAGGTGGTGAGAAATTTAACATAACTCTCAGCAGCATCCCTATTGCTGCGATGTACCTTTATAATGAAATAAATACATTTTGTACAGGTGATGTGTAAGCAATGTGAGTAAACATGAATTTAATCCAGCCCAGCATCCCTGCTAAAAAAAAAAAAGAAAAAAATAATAATACAGTAAATGGAAACTGTACTACTGCAATCATACCTCTATATTACTGTAGCTCTTTTTATCTAATCAGATATCTTGTGGCAGCAGATTTTTAGAGTGATGAAAGTCTTAAAATAGCAAAAGCAAGAGAGGGAAATTAATCAAATAAATATCTGCCTCCATCTCCTCTCGGTAACAGATACAGGGCAGCAACATGGTGCTCATATTATAATCTGGCTAAAGTATGAATGTATAAATAGCAGGAGGCAGAGTGAAAGCAATCTAGTCATCGTTCCAATTTGGCCATCCCACTTCATAGCCACTCGGCCAACTATTTACTTCCTCCACTTGGGAACAAGTCATTACCCATACACACACATACAAAAAACAAACACAAACACAAACAAACAAACACATTAGTCTTTCTATAATTGTAAAGACACTCACCTGACCCCAACTATCAGAATTAAACACCTAATCATGTCGGAGCCCTCAAACAGCCCCTTTGAGGACCAGCCCAAATGTCCTCACAACAATTGTATTCAACTACATCTTGTCCACACAACCATACAAAGACACACACAAACAATTTCTAATGATCTACATCAGCATCTCATCACCTAGGTAACCACTATGTGCATGCCAGCACACTGCGAGGTAGTCATGGCAACGACAGGCGATTGGGGTAGTGAAGTAGAAAGAGCACAGGCAGACTTGAACAGAAAGACAATAGAGAGAAAGAAAGAATTAAAAATAAACCTATAATTAGATGGTGAACCCTTAACAGCACAGGAGAGAAGAACATGGAGGAGACAGAAAGCACACTGGTAGGTGCACCAGAGTGACCTATTTTTCAGTTAAACTGCTTACAGATGGCCATGCATTTGTCTGTCTCTACAGTAGACAACCACTCAGAGGCACACACAAACAAATCTGCATCCAGCACACATGCTCCTCTTTATCTCTTATCAAGTCTCAAAACACAGACATGCAC